CGCCGTCGGCGGTGGGTTGCAGGAGGAGTCTTGCAGGAGAGAGATCCACTTCAAACGAGAGTTCCGCCGCGTTAGCCGCGTTAGTTCCGCCTCCGCCCGCCGTCGGAAGCGTCGGAACTCGAGTGCGGGGTGTTGGTGACTGGTGTTCGTGAGCGTGGTCTGCTGGTGGTCTGTTGGTCGAATAGCCCAGCCATTTTCGGGTAGGCGAGAGTAAGATCGGGTACCCCTCCGGGGGGTGAGTAGCCAAGATCGGGTGCACCCGGTGGGAATAGGGTCAGGGCTGGGTAGGGACGGGCGTCGGCCAATCAGATGCCGACTGTGAGAAACAAGTGTACCCGATAATGGCCGGATTGGGGGCGGTTGTACCTGATTTTGGCCACTCCTCTATATTTATATATTTATATATATTTTGTTGTCACTTCAACTCAGCGCTCACAGCACTGGTGCCGTTTACTCCAACCCGTGGTCACACAGAATAGCCCCTCTCTACACTCCCCTCCTGCGATACTTTGCCTTCGATTTTTAACGCGAGAAGAGTTCAGCACTCTCTTCCCTCTGTGTACACACGGCCGGTCGCCCCGGTGGTCGAGTTGGTATCCTCGAAACCTTCTAGAGGTCAGGTCATGGGTTCGAATCCCGGCGTAAGCGAGCTTTTCTTGCAAAGTGGGAGTTGTTCTCTCGCTTCCGCTCCTGGCCTAGTGGATAGCGCTAGTTCGACACAGAGGGAAGAGAGTGCTGAACTCCTTTCGCATTAAAAATCGAAGGCAAAGTAATGCAGGAGGGGAGGGTAGAGAGGGGCTCTCCTGTGTGACCACGGGTTGGAGTAAATGGCACTAGTGCCGTGAGCGCTGATTTGAAGTGAAGACAAATACACGAAATAATAGCGCTATCCACTAGGCCAGGAGCGGAAGCGAGAGACAAGCTCACTTTGCAACAAGAGTTCGCTTCCGCCGGGATTCGAACCCCTGACCTGATCACTAGAAGGTTTCGAGGATATCACCTAGACCATCGGGGCGACCGGCATATTGGATGATTGCAGGCTATTCAAAATTACTGATTGAAACGTGTTTGCGGTACTTTGGATATGTGTCCGATCTACGTGCGCTGTATGCGCCTGATGGGGGGTACGTGAATGGGTATACATTTTATGGGGGGTAGGAGAAGACCCCTGGTGCTGGAGAGAGAAAGAGCCCACGAGCTCACTTGCTTGAGGGGCTTGCGTGACGGTTATATAGCTATAATACTGAGCCGGGGAGCGAGCGAAGCGAGCGACATATTTTCCCTTCGTCCCCAGGAGGGAAAAAAAGGCTCTACATATCGGCCAAAGTTTTGCCGCGCGACACAGGGGGCCCAAAACTTGGTTTGCGGGAAGCCTATTGAGCACACCTTTGGAACCATAACGAGACCTAGACTAAAGGGCACCGATTGACGATCTGCTCGCTTTTGAGGAAGTAGAAGAAAAGCGCGCTCTTGTCCGCACCGGTATCGTCGTGCTCCGAGAGAAGATGGCTTTGGTTCACCGCCATATGTAGCCTACATTCGTAGGAGATTGTGCTCCCCAACCCCGGGGTTTTCATGCGAAAAGGCGTGCACAAAAGCGGAGATCGCGGGCGCGCGCGATTCTGACCAGGACAAGAAGCACCGACAGAGACGCAAGAACACCACCAACGAACGCATCACCGCTGAGACGGTGGTGTGAGACCAGCTATGAAAACCAGGAGGGGCCGGGCCTATACGACCTGTGCACCGTGGGTATACTGTAGGCATGCGCCATGTGTAACATGGCGGGTATTTATTGATGTTGAGTGGGTCCAATCAACTGCAGACCAATGATCACACAAAAAAGATACCTTCCCAAGTCTAGATCACACCTACCATCATCGAGAGAATCCGTCGAGGGCGTGAGGGTCTACTACTGCTGCTGCTGTGCGTTATGAGGATGGTTCCCCGCGGGATCGGTTGAGATTGCGCACTAGCTCGCGCTACTGACTGTCTTTGCAAAGAAAGCCGTGCCCTGCATGCTGTTGTTGCTGCTGCAGCCCTGCATGACCTCCTGGCCTCTCGCATCAAGGTCATGACGTCATATGACCATCAACGGTTTTTTGTTGTTTTTGGTTCATGCTGGACTGCTTGCTNGAGATTGCGCACTAGCTCGCGCTACTGACTGTCTTTGCAAAGAAAGCCGTGCCCTGCATGCTGTTGTTGCTGCTGCAGCCCTGCATGACCTCCTGGCCTCTCGCATCAAGGTCATGACGTCATATGACCATCAACGGTTTTTTGTTGTTTTTGGTTCATGCTGGACTGCTTGCTTGCAGTTGGGCGGGGAACTCGGAAGGCTTGAGACGAATGTGGCGGGCAAGTTGTGAACCTGACGCAATATCAGCCATCTGTCGTGCACAATCCTACGTCTACGTGCTGGTCGTGTTCCTCGACAGTGTGATGCATGTGTGATACGCTCGCCGCCACGGGGATGCCGCATGTTGGTGTTTCTCACATTAGCTCTTTAGTCCACAATAAATGGGGAGCCCGTGGTCTCAAAACCCGGCACATACGACGCCGCGGGAAAACAAAACGAAAATAGGGTACAAACCACTCGGAAAAAAAAAATGGTAAAAAGAAAATACAGGTATCGCACCGACCGTTCGAGAAAAGAGCCCTCGGAATCCGATCAAAATATAACAAAGACAAAAATATATGTCTCTGACTCTTTTCTATGATAGAGATGGACTCGTTGTGTCATACTAAGAAAAAAAAAATATATATATATATATAGGAGGACGCTTCCCACACCCGCCTAAAGAAAAAATCAAAGGTAATACCAGCACCAGGCACCACGCACCAGGGCATGGGAATAAGGGAGCCAACAGTCCAAAGAGGCGGCAGATGGGCGGACAGCCAGATGTACAAAAACAGAAGCAACAGCAAAGCGAGATCAACGTGCCCAACACAGCAGAGTAGGCAGGAGGACATGAAAAAAAAGAAACACAGCACAGAGTCCGAAGGCAATACAAAGGACATTCATAAAGGAGTATAGCATACAGCAGGGAGGGAAACAGGGCGCAACAACATCAGCCGGGTACACACCGGTCGCCCCGGTGGTCTAGTGGGTACCCCCGCAGCCTGCGAAGGGCCAGGTCATGGGTTCGAGTCCCGGCAGCGTGAGTTTTTTTCTCACTAAATAAATCCTGGTCAAGGATGAAAGCGACGCGCTGCAAAGCTCGTTGTTAGTAAACCATAATCGACTTCGTAAGTCGCGAGGGAAGGGATTGCTATACCCTTCTCGCGAGAAAAATTCTCAGGCAGGAACCGCGGGAGGGGGTCCAACCCCCCCCTCCTGTGTGACCCTGGTTGGGTCGTCTAGCAAGTAGAAGTAGGGGATAGGGGCCAGAGGGGCAGACGACAAAGTCCAATGATGGGAGACAGCAAAAAAATGAAATAGTTCGCCACAACAAGTGCTGCCTCGGCCGCTCTACTCGCTTCTACAGCAGTGCCCGGTCGCCATTTCTTACCCCGCACCGCCGCTTCCCCGACTCTCTTTCTCTTCGGTCCTGGGATGGCCGTACTCTCTGCTTCTGCTTCCCTCGCGCGCTGGCGCTTCGCGGACGCTTCCGCCTCCTGCCTGTGCCATTTCCTCATGAGCCATGCCGCCCC